GGAGCTATGGGTACGCAATAAGAGTGATAGTCAAATCCTGCTATTCGATCAGACAAGCGTAGCCCAAAAGTTGATGGTGGCGCAGTTGACTAGCTGTCTTCCCTCTCATCGATCAGTTCGAAATTAGGGACGGCTATGCGGAGATAATCGCTGTGTATTTTTGTTCAAAAATTTTCAAACAAAATAATATTTCTGGAGAGAGGATTTGTAACAGTGTATTCCAAATTCCAAGCAAGATTTGCAAAATAAATAACAATATGCAGTTCAATTCATTAAAAGCTCATATCGTAACTACGCAATAATGGTGACAGCGCGTTTTTATTCATAAATTTCATTTCTTTTCATTTGGCTATTATGGTATTGCACACGCTTAAACCCATGTTTTCAGGGTTGTCCCTAAATGCTGATCACCCCCGTAACATCTTTTTCTTATTACAACCTCTTCAGTACGTTATTGAAAAATCAGAGTTTCCATTGATGTGCTTAGTCATACGTATTCCCAAAAACTGCACGCAAACATAATATCTGAAACACTAATTTGCTACGTTTCAAAGCTTTTTCTATTCAAGCTCTCTTTCTCTTCGCTTCACCCTTGCTAACATACTTGCGTCATCCCTAGACCTGAGCATGCATACTGGCACCTTCTAAGACAAGGTCAAAGGCCAGTTTGTATGTAATGAGTCATATAACTCCACCCAAATAACCGACAGTATCAAAAAAAAAAGAAAAAAGTTTGACCTGGAGTGTGTTCTCTCACACCCCCGGCAGCATTCCTTGATTGGTAGAAGCCGGTACAATAATGTTGATAAGTCAGGCCTATAAGAAGCCAGTTTTGGCCACTAGTGCTGAGAGGTTTATGACGTGAATCATCATCCTCCAGCAGCTGTCAACGTACTAACTACAAAAGGTTCAACTCATCCACAGAGATGGTAGACGTGATAACAAACTCGCGGCGCAGCTTTTTATGGAGTTGTCGATGTAGATGGAGTGTAATGCATTCCCGTGTGAGTAATATCAAAGCCTATGTAAACATAGCAAGGCTACTCCAGAAATACCATTGGACGAAACAATTGAAAATATTTTTATAGATTATATTTTTACTCACACACAAAATCATGTTGGTCTAAAATGGTTAAAATACCGTCTACTACCTTGTATGCTGCCATCTATTGATGGTGAATATTACTAATAGGCTTTTATCTGTGCAATCAATTCTGTCGTGGTAAAACTCAAATACGTTTACTTCTATCTGAATTTTTTGGTACAGATATAAAACTTAAAAGAGTAAAATGGTATAATAAATAAGCATATCGGATTGAAATTTACTGAATACGTTCGAACAAACGTTTTACTTATATTTTCTGATTGTATGTGCATTGATTATGAACGAAAGCTTCTAAACGTTTTAATCTCTAATAAATTACATCTATTTCAAACAATATAGATCGTTTTTTTTTTCAATGTCAAAATACTTTCTTCATGAGTAAAGCCCCCCAGTGGCACAGCGTTATGTCTGCGGACTCACAACGCTAGAATCCGGGTTTCGATAACCGTGGTGGGCAGAGCACAGATAGCCCATTGTATAGCTTTGTGCTTAATTACAAACAAACAAGCAATCATGAGTAAAGATCACGCTTACTAAAATTAACATTATTAAATTGAATATCACTATATAAACGTCCCCAATTTTCAGCCGAGAAACTGGAGTGGACAGCCAACAGCACCAACCACCAACTCTTGGGTTACCCCCATCTTGTAGCGCACCCACGGCCTCAAAGTGGGATTCACAGTCCAAACATGCTCTCCATTAGGCCAAGCCCAGCACAAATCGTGTACAAAAGAAAGTGCTGTATTTTAAACATAACCTGCTTTTAGAGCTTAATGATTATCTATTCATTACCCTGTTTAAACACATCTTACTTGAAAGAAAAACACAAAGAGACATTTAGAAAATAAATTAGTTCGTATTTTAAAGGTTGATTTTTCTCTCCATCAAAAAATTAGAGTGGTCTCCCGAAAGGCTGGGAATTAATTTCTTACATTTTACAAAAACGTATTGTTTGTGTTTAAGTAACGACAAAAGACACTTCGTTCCTTACACAAAGCTGTGCGAGAGAAGCTAACATATCCTGATGTTCTTAGAATTATGTTGTTTAAAATGACAGAGAACGAGATCCGAGCTATAAAAACACCTGATTATGTGCTTACCATGTACTAAAGCGGTGGCTTTATTATATAAACACCGTACTTCCCATTTCTAAAAAGCGAATCAATGGGTAATTTTATTTCGTTTGAAAAAAAACAAAAAAAAAACGTCGACAGTGAGTATAATATCGTGCTTGCACGCAAAACAAAGTTTGGTGTCTAAAAACCTAAGTAACAGACTCAAATAGACCGCTACTTTTACATTTGATGTCAAGCACGTTTCATAAAAACTAGGATGTTATGTTTATTACCTCGTTCATTGGTAATATATAATAAAAAAAATCCTAAAATTTTAGAACTGCTATACATTTCCTCAGTTTATATAAGAATAGAACATGCCAAACTGTATAAAGTAAAAAAATGAAAAAATTGTTTTCCTTAGATTCATTAGCTTGGATTCAAACAGCAGCAAAGCCTGAAAGAGCCGTTTCTGCACTCAAAAGCAACGTGGAACGTTTGATTTTAAAGGTGTTGTGAAAGAAATGCTAATTTAATTAAAACTGTTTTAACCCTTCATCAACATCTTATAAAGTTTTGGAGATTAACAGTATAACACACCCCAAGCTGAAAGTAAGGAGTGTGTTCAGCAGCATCACGTCTCAAATCCTTGACCCTTGGTTTCGAAGCCTAACACACCACCGACTATACCACAACCAACAAGATTAAAAGGGGCATGAATAACTGAGTCATTATAGCAGCATTTGAGTGCTGTGTAACTTAGGGATTGTAAGACTGTTGATGTAGAGTTACACCAATGGTTTAACCTGATGGAAACTTGTGAAACATATTGGGCAGAGTTCAAAATACAGAAAATGGGCACCACCAAGAGTTTGGCTGCTTATGCTGACAGTCTACACTGCTTTAGCTGGAAGGCATACGTGGAAATGACTTGTGCAGATCACAAAGACATCTTGGTGGATCCATTGAAAAACAATGAGACAATATATAGGTGTGAATTATTTTCTCACCCTAACATACACAGTTTCCATTGTGGCAAGACACGAAGTAGTAACTTTGAACCAGTTGAAAGAGAGGAAAACCCTGCAGTAGCTAAACCACAAACAGACCATCACATTCTTACCTTCATCGTGCTGAGCCCAAGCCATATCAAGGATTAACCAGCCACCCACACCGACATCCAGTGAATGGACAGATCTATCCCAATCTTCTCATAGTTTATATACTGCAGCCATTGTTTATGATGCCTCCACCCAGATGTAGTTTCGGAAGAAAGAGCAAAGCATTTGCTTAGCATGTAGAATGTTGGGTCACTATAAAATGAGCTGTCCATACTTTGTTATGCAGCAGCAACAACATAAACAAGTTTTTTGTTTCAACAAATGGCTCAACAAGCCCATGAGAGTCGACAGCAAGTAAACAAGTAGGAAATGCTGCTGCTACAGCTCTAAAAATTGACAGAACCCAAGTCAGGTCTGCTCACTGACTTGAGGGAGCTCAGCAGTAAGCCTCGCAGTGAAAGGTTGTTGTTGTTGTTTGGAGCTATCTGTGGTCTGCCCACCACGGGTATCAAAACCCGGTTTCTAGTGGTATGAGTCTGCATACATACCACTGGGGAACACATTGAAATATTTAGTGTCAACTCAGCTCTTTCAGATCTTGTTCGAGTTTGGTACATACCCGTAAAGGTATCAGGTAGGAAAATCAAGTTCCTGATGAATACAGGAGCAACCAGAACACCGATAGATCTTACAATATATCAAACCCTCCAAGTAAACATTACTCTAGTTATTGAATTCCACATTCATTCCAGTATATGGTAATAAACTAGAAGCGAATGAAGAGGTAAATCTCCAACCATGTCAAGGTGGTATTGCTAAAAGAACGATGGTAGTCATCATTGACCTCTGTTCTGGCATTGACATCCTTGGGACAGATGTACTACTGAGCCTGTTGGACAATTTTGCCTGTGTAGCCACTGATATTATGGACTGGTGGAAAATTATCTGATACCAACTATATTTGGCCCAAAAAATAGACTGCAAGTGGTGTTCCACAGTTTACTGCAGATAAACTATTAAGTCGTCAAGAAATTAATGCCGCTTTCTTTTAGATGAAAAAACCCGAACAACTTATATATCAAAACAAAACATTTATAAAATGAAATAGTTTCCATTCTTATCGATGATGCTTTTCCATCTTACAATCAGGTTGTTAATGCCCTGATTAAAGAAATCACTTGGCTCTGAAGCAAAAAAACATGTCGATATCCTTTTTAACACCTTCCACATTTGCATACGTTTTCCCATTAAGATGGTGTTGCAGCGAACGAAAAAGATGGTAATCTGATGGTGCCATATCTGGAGAATATGGTAGGTGGGGGAGAACTTTCCAACCCAACTCCATAATCTTGTGTTGTGTCAAACGTGCCACATGTGGACGTGCATTGTCGTGGAGAAGACGAACACCTTTCCTATTGAGGAGTGAAGGGCGTTTCTGATGAAGGACTTGATTTAAACATTCCAGTTGCTGACTATAGATCTCTGCATTAACAGTTCGCTGTGGATTGAGGAGTTTGAAATGAATTTCTTTGACGTCTCCCCGTCACACCAAACATGCTCGCGCTTTCAGCCGTGGGGGCGTTATAATGTTACGGTCAATCCCACTATTCGTTGGTAAAAGAGTAGCCCAAGAGTTTACTGTGGTTGGTGATGACTAGTTGCCTTCCCTCTAGTCTTACACTGCTAAATTTGAGATGGCTAGCGCAGATAGCCCTCGTGTAGCTTTGCGCGAAGTTCAAAACAAACTTGTATCAAATTTTCTTTCTCTGGTCTTAGATTATGTGCTGTATTATCGAGAAGAAAGCAAGAACTGGGTCGAGAATACAGTAAAATCAAAGCTTACAGATCAGACCTACACGCTCGGTGGACTTGAATGTGGCACGAGGTATAAATTATACATGGTGTCAACCAATAGCGTAGGTCGAAGTGAACCAAGTGAGATGATATCGGTGCGGACAGATGGCGCTGGTGAGTACAATCTTTTGCAAGACAGATTCTTAGATTTGCGTCTATTATTTATAGTACCACTAGCTGGAGTATCCATTTGTAACAAATGATAGGAAATTGTGCTTCTATTGTTTTTCTTAACATAATAAACATTGCAATAAAAATACAGAAAGGCACCAATACTGAAAAGAAAGACTTACTGTTTTCAAGAATTCTATCACTATGAAATTAGATGTGGGGCGGCAACCCCTCTCATGACCTACCTCATGTTATCCTGTATCATTATATCAAGTTGTGTTCATTAGGTAGTTTTCCAAAAAATTAGATATGAAATTAAATCGGGGTCCAAGAAAATGAAGAAAACGGCTAGAAACCCGGTGCTTAATTCCAGACAAACAAAATTTTGGTACTAAGCTACATGACATAAAAGCTAATGTTAGAACGTAGTGTCACCAAAACGCACTGACTTTTCTGTATATTAGAAGTTGTTAATCTTACTGATTTTTACCAATAATTATTCTATAAATACGCCACGAATTTATTTAATGAATGAACTTAATTTTGATTGGCTTACAAAGAAATTTACAGACGTTTCACTGCCTCGACTGCACTTTTCTGCCTCTTTGTTGGTCAAGCTTGATTTCGCAAAATATATTTATTTCAGTTAGCTATAAAATTTGAGGTTAGGGTATACTATGAAGTGGGGTGGTAGTACTTGCTCCGTCATTTTTGACGGGCTATCTGCTAGTAATACTTAAGTGCTAGAAAAGTATAAAAACTAACGATGTTTCCCTAAGTTTTCAATAGCCTTAAAAAGCTTAATCAACGTCTAAAAATAATTACTCGATCACTACTATAAAAAAAAAATAGTTGGAAAAGGAACTTTCAACCAAACAGTTAATTAAATTCCATGTTCATTAGCGATGTAGCAGTTGATCAAAGAAGTTGATATCTTCAATATAATGAAAAACGTACATTATTATACGGGAGTTCAGGACTATTGTCAATGAGGCTCTTGTGGTGACCTCTGGTGAATCCGTTTTTAAATCTTTTCATTCTTTTATTCCATGTTTCAGCAGGATTATCTTTTAATTTATGTCATTTTGTCTCTAATGAATCAATAATTATATTTTACAAATGAGAAACAATTAACTATTTTATTGAGATAAAAGTACGTTCCGTTTTTATCCAGCTCCTTTATCTCCGACGAAAGAAGATTTTATACAGCGAGACGTCACTTCTGTGAGGCTGAATTTATTCTCTTGGGAAACTGGTGGCTGTTTAATCAAAGAATATTCCATAAAGATCCGGAGGAAACCCATGTCTCATTGGACAATACTGAATGATCACGTGCCTTCTAACCAATCACAATATGTGTTACAGCGTTTAACACCAGGAACTTGGTATGACCTTCAAGTGACCGTTTACAGCAGCGCAGGTGCAACTGAAGCTATGTATGAATTCCAAACATTTAACGTAACATTTGAAGGTAAAGATAAGTGTTTGAATTATAAGTTTTTTTTTGCATATAATTCAATCGCTTTGCTTAAATTTAATTTTTGGGCTATTTTACTACACACACACACAAAAGTTTTATGCTATCCTTTATATTTCTTCAGACATTTGTTTCCATGTCCCCGATAATTCAGGGTTCGATCTGTAACAGACACAACATAGGTAGTCCTTTGTGTAAGTTTTTCGACAAAGGTCAAATTTTTGTTTTCTTCTATTCTTTTTTTATTTTTAGTCTTTCTTTTGTACTTCACAGTACCCTTTCTTTACTGCATGTTTTTAAGTTATTTTTCAAATTTGACATTAGTGTTTCCTTTTCTCATGTTTTATAGGTTTTTCTCTTTACCTCACTTTCATTATTCTAATTATATTCTCAACTAAAAAACAAATAAAAGAAATAATATATCGAAAACAAACAGTTATATCGGAGTTTAGGCCTAATGAATCAAAAATGCAGCTAAAACATGTTTTAAATCTAATTTTTTCAATATATTCAACGCTGTTTTTCATAACTGGAATAAAGAGGGAATTAATTTTATATATTTTTGGAAGCAGCTGTTCCAGATTTGTATACGGTCGTGCCTAAGCCTGCACAGATGGAGTCTCATTTCCCTCTTCTTCTGGACTTCACGATCATCGTCCCTATTGTTACGTCTGTTGTCATCGTGATTATTATTATCATCGTTGGATGTGTCTTATATCGGCGTCGTAATTCTCATTATAGCCCCAGCAGTGGTACGTATAAAGTGAATGCTAACTTTGTTGTTTCGAGAACGATTATTGTTATTATTTTCATAAAATGACTGTTCTTTAATATATGTGTGCATTGTTGTTATGGTAATGGTGCTCCACATCCATTGTTTTTAATAGATAAATGCGTTGAACGAAAACTGTTCTAAACACACTGATGAGGCAAGTAGCAATAATAATATTCAATCTTTGATATGTTAACTTGCCTCTTATCTAACTTATATAAAAGCCAGTGCGTGTCACTTCAAGGTTCGTTTCCCAGAAAAGGAGGAGTTAAAAGCCAAAATGCATCTGTCCAGATGAAATAGTTCGACTACTGTCTGCCCATTACGATCTTAGTGCAAGGAAACCGTGATGGGAGGAGAGGTGCCTTGAAACCTTATAGGTGTAGTGAGTGCTGGTATAATAAGCCAAAAGTAAATACAAGGTGTGGGATCACCTAGCCTAGAGCCAAGTGCATAAAACTTATCATGAAAGTAAAAATAACGATTCAATTCTAAACTTAAATCGTTTCTGAATTAAGCTATTTTCTGTTATACCATCAACGTTATTATTAAAAAACAAACCTCTTTAATCAACAAAGACTCTAAATTAAGAAATCAACAAATGTGTTTCCAGTTTTGTTGTCTATACATTTCATTTTATACTTTTAGTACATTGACTAACAACAATATTAGATTATACTTTTGTTGTTAAATTAAGCAAGATGACATAAAAGCTAATGTTGAAACGTAGTGTTACCAAAACGCACTGGCTTTTCTATATATATTAAAAGTTGTTAATCTAACTGATTTTTACCAATTATTTTTTCATGAATACGCAACGACTTCATTTCATGAATGATCTTAATTTTAACTGGTTCACAAACGTATTTACTGACGTTTCACTGCCTCGCCTGCGCTTTTCTGCCTCTTTGTTGGTCAAACTTGATTTCTCAAAATTTACTCATTTCAGTTAGTTATGAAATTTACGGTTAGGGTATACTATGAAGTGGGGGGTGGTAGTACTTGCCCCGTTATTTTTGAGGGGCTATATGCTAGTTATAAAATTTTAGTCAATTTAAACCAATAGGGGCATGGTGGTAAGTGTGTCGGGATGCGAAACATAAAGCATAAGGTCTTGGCCCACGCTATGTCGCTGAAAACATTCTACACTTTGTAGGTTTTATAAAAATGGGAGTAAGTTCCGCTATTGGGTTTAAACTAGCAGTGTAGGCGGTGGGTAGTGCTGACAGGCTGCCGTCTCTCTGGACAGCAGTTCTAGATTAGAAATGCTTAGGCTCAAATTTTTGGAGTTTCTGACCTGGCCGTTTCGCCTGTTGAAAATACCAAATATGTACCTCACCAATTAATTTTTTTTTATATTAAATAATTCCTTAATATATATTCCTTATAAACAATAATGACACAAATTTTGGTTTTTCTTAGAAATCTGATCTTTATGCTGAAGTCAAACAATAATAATGTTCAAAAAAGTAATTTCATCCTATCTGAAAATGATATAATTAGAATTGCCGAATGTTAGAAAAATTAACGGTAGATTGAAATAAATAAGCAGAAGTTTTACCGAAGAAAACTCAAACCCCCAAACTTGTGTTTTCAACAAACGGTTCTGAAAATACAGAATAATCAAAGGTCAAAGGTTGTTTTTGTCACTAGACCAATCTGGAACGAAAAAATTATCAAAGCTCTAGGTTGTTTTTATCATCAGTTGGATCTGAAATTAATGAAAAATCAAAACTGTTAATTGTTTTTGTCACTAGATGGGTCTGGAAGCTCCAAGATAAGGCGAGGAATGGAAACACTGGTTTTGAAAGAAATAGATGGCTCGAATGAGCAAGGTTGTTTGGCTACAGGAGTGTCAAGTGACGAAGGAACACAGAGATCGTCATCGTCAAATAGCCACTCACGTCAAGTTTTAGCTGGTACGGTGTGTTTCAAATTTCACTTTAAATCACAGATATTACTCTCAGTGACGTTTTACAAACGTATAACCTGTATTCATTTCTGTCATAAATTTATAATTATACATTGTAAATAATCTTTATTGATGTTTTTATTTCTTTACACAATCTAAATACGGGACAAAAATATACGTAAAAAATGGTTGGTAATCATATAGGAAGTGAAAAAGTAGGTGGAACGTCAACGCTTCGCACCTGTCGACTTGTCTTCGTCAGGGTCACATACAGAAATCTTCCTACAGCCTTGATGGAAGCAGAAGAAAGTCCAAGCAACATTAGTAGCATCTAAGTGAAATTCTAAATTTAATTATATTTGTTAACCTGGTCTAAGACTAATTACTGGCATGGAAAATATTTTCAAAGTATGGTCAAGAAAGTAAAATTCCGTTAGCGAGTGCAAACTAGGCCTATCGTATTTCAGGATAGGCCTGAAGTAAATGAATACAGTAAATAAATGCGTTAAAATATTTTATTTAGCGATATTTCGAGCATACGATCTCTTGAACCAGTACATTTTTATTTTTGTTTCTATTTTCTTGCTTATCCATTCCCTAATGTGATTTTAAGCCTACTTTTGTACTTCGCTTACTTTTCCATAGTATCAAATGTTGCTGTGGCCCACCGAGGACTTATTAAAACGTGTTCTAATTTTGATTCTCATATTTATAGTTTTATCTAATTTATTCACAGTTATGTAAATTGTTTGTTATATTTAGCTAATATACGGCATGTTCTCTGAATATCAGGCCTACCACAAGAACAGGAGCTTCACCCCTATGCTCTGCCCTATGATACCATAACTGTACCCGATTACCAAGTTAGTCCACCAAGTACCTCTACGCAGAACACTCTCAACCGACTGTGGGGAGATGCGAAGGGAGACAACATCTATGTCAGTAGGCAGGTAAACTTAGTCAAATCCCGTTCATATTTTCAGCAGCTGTTTGTTCCGTTTAAAGCTGCACGGTGGGGCGGGGATCGAATCCCGAATTTAAGTGTTAGTGATTCTAATTTCTATCGTTAAGCCACTGGGGGGGGCGTCACTGAAGCCTATGGGGATCGTGAACACGTAATTCTATCGCGTATTAAAAATGACTGGAGAACACGTGAAGTTGAACGCAGCATGACTAATAGAAAAAAAAATTATGATAATTGCAAAATAAAGTCAATCTTCGAAACGTAGAAATCATTAATAACGAGATTTCCGAAACCTAGGTTACTTCGAAATACTTGGTAGCAAATACTGATGTGGTGATACTAAACCACTCACATTTCAGTATCTGTTGCTTAAGTGTTAAGATTAACGAACAGTATACGTCTTCAGTTTCGTATTACAACTTACTTGTTTTACTGAACGGTATACAAGAACTAACTGCTTATTGTCGTCCTTCATTTTACGTAGATAGATTAGAAGGAAGGAAGCTAATGAACATGGAGCCATGGGTGCATTATAAGAGTAACAGTCAAATCCCACTATTCGATCTAACAAGAGTTGGCGGTGGGTGTTGTTTACTCTATCCATCTCTTTAAAAGTAGGGCTGGCCAGCGCAGATAACAATTGACAACCTTTGCACGAAATTTAACGAACTGTCTAATCGCAGAATGGGGTTTGAACGTCACTCTCCTAACGCACCCAACGGGATGCGAGCCATAAATTGTCTGATTTATAGTACGGCACTAGGCTGCTCCTGGCACCGTCATATCGATAATAAAAATTAATTAATTTTTTAACATTTTATTTTAAATTACCCCCC